AGCAAGTTTTCATTGTACAGAAAATGGACAGAATGGCTATGGTGAAGACAATTCTTAGCATCTTATAATGCTTGAATATACAAGGGCCTTGCTTTGAGCTATTTAGATAATTCTCATAATCAGTCTGCTGTCTCTAAATTAAAGAAGTTATTATACTATCAACACTGTTTCCACTTCCTACCCCATTCATATTTGTATTTCTTTGGAAGTAAGTTTCACAGTAGTATTCTATGTTAAAGTGTTTTACAAACCATGTGTTTAAGAACTGCAGCTTCAGAAAAGTGGCTGAGCCTTAATGCTTTTTTAGTCATGATTTCACAGGGTCAGGCCTTATGATTTGTTAAACCCTGTTTAATGATTTATTGGGTTCTAGCTGATTATGATTTCTTCAGCATTGTTTAAGCAACCAGTGGCCTAGTCTAAACCGTGAACTAGTTCCAGTCTTACTAAGGTAACTAAAAAGTAAAGAGGCTTAGGCAAACATTGGATTGGGATAGTGCCACTATCAGGAATTGGATGGTTTCACATTTCTTTAGGTCAGTGCTTCTCAAATAGTGGGGCGCGCCCCCCAGGGGGGGCGCGAGGCTCCATAAAGAGGGGCTCGTTTGACCTTGGCAAATACTGTCATATTGGATTTCTAGATCGGATCATCCGACTCACTCACAAGCGGCAGCCCGACGCAGAGGACAACATGACCGCCAACGCACATGACACATGCAAAGGACCCAATTGGATAGACATGATGCTCTATCCTGATTGGCCAAACCCGCCCGTGTGACTTTTAGACCCGGAAATCGGTCCTCTGTACAGAAAAAAAATTTTTACAGTCGCGCGGGGGGCGCGAAATGTTTTCTTCTTCCTAGGGGGGCATGACAGAAAATAATTGAGAAGCACTGCTTTAGGTTGACACTTAAGAGAGTGGCATTCTATTGTGCCATCTTCCAGGAATAATGTACTACAAGCACCATAATTTCCAGATGATGGGTTTATATTATAAATCTCAACTTCTTGATTCTCAGTTTGTTAGCTCTCAGGGGGATAGTTGTTCTCAATGCATATTTAGTTTTGCCTTTTCCTTTTTCGGTGATGAGACGGTCTCACAATTAAGGAGTATTTATTTCCTAGGTTTTTTTAATTAGCATTGAGAAAACATCATTACTTCATATTGATTACACACTGAAATTTATCTTTATATTGATGGGTTATAGCAAGCATCTTACCGTGGACTAGCTGACTTTTCTTCAAGAACTCTTCACCCGAGAAGATGTGGTGCAACTTTGCTTTGAGGATAAGCAGAGGATGAAAACTGATTACCTTCAAAAATGCTGTCAGTATTATAGTCCAATGTGTGCTTTGCATCACTTGCTGTTCTAGACTGTACAAATCTTGGAATCTCTTCAGTGTCATTCATGCAATTTTTAAGTAATCCATGTTTCTATAGCAACCCCCTTTCTCTTCAATTCCTTTACCTGACTTATTATTGTTTTTTATAAGATGTCTTATCAGTTCTGCAAGGTTTTTGGACAACAACATTTATATATCTGCCTGAATACTTCACAGCCTGTATTCCACTTCCCGTAATGACAAAAGGCATAATAGAGATGGTAACGCATTTCTATTTCTGCTGATTTTTACAGTGAGATAGTTTTTTTTTTCCTTCATTGACCAAGGGGCTTTAGAAACACATTGAAAGAAATAGCCCATCCTATCCTGATGGTATGAGAAAGCTGAGAAATTATATATAAGTATATAAAATTAAATTGGTTCAAGACTAAATGTAAAAAACCTTATCCTTTGGTTGTTAACTAAGTGTGAAAAATTAGTAAATTCATCTGTAAGACATTTGAGTCCATGGGAAAGAAAACCATAAATTAGTTGGGCTAGATTTAAAAATAGGTCTTCTGCAAGGTCTTGCTTAATTAACTGTTAATTTAATTGTTAATTAAACCATGTTTTTCTAGAGATGAAAAAGGGTGATTATATTTTAAGGCATGTTTCTAATGAGGTTAGTTATTTGTTTCTATCATAATCTATCCCTATTATTGTTTTGCAAGCAGGGGAATTTATAAGATATTTTAAAAATTGAAGGTATAATATTCAATTAAGTCACTTGTGTTTCAACCAAGGTAGTTTTATTAAGAATATGAGAGCATTATTTGCTCTGGAGTCATAAGCTCTTTCTCTGAAGGAGGGGGCCAAAGGAATATTCATGATTTCCAGTGGGGCAACCATATAAATCTACAGTAACTAAACCTCATGCCATAATAAATATCAGCCTTTAAGATTGCTGAAGGATTGTTGTTTCTATATAATAGTACTGCCAATTTCAAAAGGAAAAATTAAGCTTCCCAGTGGGACAAGTGTATGAATGGATCTTAACAATAACTATTTAGGTTTATAGCCAAATGACTAATGGCACTTAAAAACTTAATTTTGGCCAGAGGGTGAAATTAAAAATTACTACTTAAATTCTGAATGATTTTGAATGAAAGGACAACTTTCCTTGATGTGCTCATATTCTTGGGATATATTCCCTTGCCATCTCTCATATTGTGAACCATGAACTCTATGCATTACTCCAGGGGTCTTCATACTTGGCCCTTTTATGACTTGTGGATTTCAACTCCCAGAATCCCTCAGCTAGTATGTCTGGCTGAGGAATTCTGGGAGTTGAAGTCCACAAGTCATAAAAGGGCCAGGTTTGAAGATCCTTGCTTTACTCTGTAAGGGCGGTGACCTAATTCTGCAGATGATTGAAAAATATACATATGATCTTATGCTTCAAATGTTATCCCTGGATTCCAGAAAGCCTGTGAGGTGAAGTGAGAAGTCTAGAAATCCTGACTTCAGAGATTGAAGTTAAGATACTAAGTGTTTGTACTTAATGAGAGATTTAAAAAACAAACAAACCTGAATCTCCCTTAAACATTTTCAATGTTACCTAAGACTGCTCTTGTTTATTCTGTGCTTTTCCATTTACATTCACATCCCCAAATCCTGGACTGAGAATAAATATCATATTAATATCTGAAAGCAAATGTTAAACATTTTAGTGATAATTGGATTTTCATTAGTGTGAAGGAATTAAGATTCTTGAGGGGTAGATAAAAGTTCAAAATATTTATCTGTTTGTATTTGTTTTATTTATTTAAAATATTTATATAGCCACCCATCTTATAATCAACTCTGGGGAGCTCCCAATCAAAGTTTCCTAAAAGAGTTAAATAGATGAAAATTAACAAAGGAGTAGAGATATCTGATCACTCCCATGAATCTGAAAGAATTTCCTGCTCACATCTCGCCACATCATAATACTTAAAAATAATAAAATAATTTAAGGCAATATATCCCTCACATTTTAACCTCATTTCAAATCTTGGAAGAATTAGGCTGAACAGCAGGTGTTTCAAAGTCATCAAGGGCTCACCAGATATATCAGCTTGGTCTGATCTTTTCATACAATATGCTGGGCATATTCATATATTCATATATCTTCCCATATATGAATAGTTTATGCAAACTGAAATCTAGACTTCTACCCACTAGATTACATTTCCCATGTAGCATAGATGTGAGCTTTAATCCTACAGTTCTGGATTGGGAACTTCTAAGAACATTGACAGTACTAGAAACATTTGCTTGAGATCATACTATTATAAAGTAAAATTCTATCCATATTCTTAAGAGCTCAGTGACATGGAGGGCGTAATTCTTAAAACATGCCTATACTTTTGAACAAATTTAGTGAAGATGAATATATGATGCCACTAGGTACCAATACATACATGATGAAATTAAGCATTAGGGCAGTGCTTCTCAACACTGTGGAGCTCTGGGAGTTGTAGTCCACACATCTTAAAGTTGCTAAGATTAAGAAACTCTATATTAGGAGAAAGGAATCTCCTTGCTGTCTGCTGTTGCTGAACTACAATTCCTAGGGACCTCATGGGCAGTTCTGAGGAATGCTGAAAACTGCAATCCAGGGACATCTATAGAACAACAAATTCTCAACCCTTGAAGCTGAAGTGGAATAGTAATTTAGTAAAGCATAAAATACTTAGTCTGAGCTTCACATATTGTTTCCAGAAAGCTTTCAAGAATAAAATGCAATGTTGTGACTGCTAGTTGCCACAATCTCTATATAGCACAGTTGTATCAGAGGTTAGTTTTCCAAAGAAGAATGACAAAGAGTCAAATGTCAGCGAGATGTCCCCTTCATTGATGAACTATCAGAAAAATGCCAGGTTCATTGAAGAAAATAAGAGAAAGGATGGTAAGAAAGGATGGAAAGTTCTACATATTTGTCCCCAATTTTATACACTACTTCTGCTTAAGCTGCTTTGGAAGGTGTCCATCTAAACATCGATGTATCTGTAGATTGTTGGTGGACTATCCTGGGACACAGCTCCTCTGGTATAACCTTTTAACATGCATCGTATGGTGTGTCATATGTTGAATTCCAGGACTTAATTAAAAGATTATTATTTGAGGTGGCCTGCTGTCCTCACAGTACTGTTGTGCAAAGTGAAAAGAGCAACTAGACTCAGCCACCAGGTATTTTCAGGGTGCTAGGTCTGGGGGGGGGGGGGAGAAGAAAGAAAAGGATTAATATAACTATGGGCCATAATTTTCCAAGATATCAGATGCTGCCATTGGCCTTACTATATATAAGAATCCTTTTTGCCAGTGTAAAAATATGGGCTTCCCTCAAAGAGAGAAATTGAGGATAATCCTGATTTTTGAGGAGAACAGCTGATCAACAGATTGTATAGATGTATCTGACTGCAGACACAGGTCTCTAATGCAGTGTTTTTCAAACACTCTTCTAATGCATAATTCTTAGTAGTGACGGTTTACATACATCTGCCCTTTGGGATGTAGGGGTTTGACTTATTAGTCACTCTTAGTTTGTTTCCCCCCCCCCCCAGTGGACTGAAGTTCTTGTGCTGCCAACGACCAAAATGTATTGCTTTTATTCCCTCCCTCGTGTCTCCTTTCAGGCCCTGCTATTTCAGAGACACACCCGTCAGCTGGCTCTCCACTGTTCAGTTTCCTTCTTCTCAGGAAATGTTTGCCCTTCTGTGTTTCCGGCAACTGCAGAGCATGTCCTTTATAGAGTCACTATACAGTGGAGGAGAGGATGTACTGGAGATACCTCATATTTTGCTTGGGTGGCTAGGTAGGCTGTTTTGTGCAAAAAATTTCATTTCGGGCTTAAAATTCTGAGAGATGACATTCACATATCTTAAAGTTGCCAAGTTTGAAAAACACTGCTTTGGAGGAAATTAAAAGCATTTACAGAATATTTATTTTTTTTAAAAATCCATAGAATCGTTTAGATACTGGGTCAGCACTTTGGGGTCTCAGTTGCTCTCGCTGAAGTAAGGAATTGTGACTCCAGGATTTTATTTTATTTTTTTAAAAAAGCCAGCATCCTGTATCCTTCTACTAGGCAGGATGGATAGTAGGAAAATGAGACTGGAAGATGTGGACAGATGAAAAGGAATGGAAATTTCGTGAAAAACACAACCTGTGGACAAGCATTAAATAACAACAATTTTGAAAAATGAATAGCAATCACAGATCTATTCTCTCTCAGTTCAATTACAGGGTGTTTCTGGGGGACTATCAGGAGCGCACAAGAAAATGTCATCTGACAGCTTGTCGACCAAAGCCCTAAAGGTAAGGACCTAGCACACGGGTATCAAACTTGCCATATCACGTGACGTGTCGCGACGTGTCGTGACTTTTTTTGCATTACCGGAGCTGGGATGGGCGTGGCCTCTGCATGATACAACTGGCCCGTGGGCCGGCAATTTGATATCCCTGACCTAGTAGTTTTGAAAAACACATTTCCCTTCTATAAAACTCTGGTATTCTGCTATAAGAGACTGATCATCATGACTTAAATGAATAATTATTATCTGGCATTAAAAAACAACAACATCCAGAGTTCTCATTGGAAGAAAAGTGAACCTTACAGACTCTATAGAATTTCTGCACAATTTGTGTACATCTACGTTCCCCTGATCTTCTTTGAAATTATTCTACCCCCCCCTTTCACTTTTCCTCTTCTTTGTGCCCTTACTTCCTTGTTCTCTGTTCCCTCCATTTCACCATTTTTTCTTCCTGCTTGTGTTGTTATTCACTTTCTCCTTTGTCCCTCGCCCTCTTTTCAGAAATGGTGAACATGTGTGTGGAAATTTGTATGGAATTAAATTATTTTCAATAGTTGATATAGGACTTCTTTTTAAAGAATAGTCAGTCTGTAACCCATACAGTTGCTGAAGCACACATGGATGCATATTTGCAAATGTTTCTAGCAGCATTGAGCCAAAAAGGGGAAGGATGTTCTGTGTCTTTCCTAATATAATTTTCCTCTCTGAAAATTATTGCACTGATGTCGCTTTGTTAATGTGAACTATAAATTCTTGCCATGTATATGCATATACAAACACATTTTGACAAGCGGGTCCTTTTTAATTTTCTCAGAAATATTTGAAGAACAGCACTTGCTTCTCCATGTATTTTCCCTGCTTGTATCCAAGAAAAGAAACAACAAAAACTGAAACTATTGCCTCCTCATTCTTAAGATTGTCACATTGCTTGTTTAAACACAAACCTGGAGGATAGAAGCAACCCATTATTGTGTGCAGGTAAAGTAAGGACTGATGGAGGTGTGCCCTGCAGAGAAGTCACACAAATTGTCAAGGGAGGCCAGGCCCTCCTTTATATTAAAGAAATGCATCTCTTCATTGCCAGTCTCTAGCAGTAAGATTTTTAAAACAAAAATCCAGGGCAGTAATTGTGGGAACTGTATTTACCTACTTAGCTGTTCTAGAAGAGGAAACCAAGCACATTAATTTAGAACAGATTTTGTATGAAACAGTCAGGGGTAGGTATGCTCACCCCAAGGTTTTTTAGGGAGCCAACAATTATTGTCCGGAAGCTGGTGTATTTTGTTAAAAGATCTGTAACTAAGCAGGTATTAGGAAATTATGATAATATCATAATGATAATATCCAATTATAACTTTGTTTCTAGCAATGCTTGATCTGCAAGAGAATGCTGTGCTATTGTTTACATGTCTTTGTTTTCCCGACACTATTAGAAATTGTCTACTAATTAAACTAAATAGTTTCAAGCAATATGTGGTCTAAGTGTGAAAACTCAGACTAGGTTGGATTGCTTAGCCAAGTGGTCACTTCCTGTTTCTTCTAATTATTTAATGTCCCAAAACAGTTTGAATAGGAATGGGTATTCTTGCTGTGTTCCCATAAGCTGGAAAAGTCAGAACAATGAAGTGTTGATTCACTAACTTTTGCTTAGAAACACCTTAAAGCAGAGAAATTTCAAATTCTGTTCATAAGAAGTGTTTGGAAATTGATCTGGAATGCAGACAGTAGCATCTGAACAGCAGCAAGAAAATATCACATGTGTCTTACACCAATATTAAGCAATGCTTAGTCAGTGTTATACGATAATCTTGGATGTTCTCAAAAGCTAACATCTCATATATGTAGCTATTTCCTCCATTGAATTATAGAGTTTGGAAACAGATTTTTTCTTCTGTTTCTACATAGTCTGCATAGAATTGCATTGTAAATGGCCTGTGATCCCATACATAAAGGATTGTATCAAACCAATTTTAAGATTTGCATTCTGGATCCTGTTTTTGAGTACTCTCTGAATCAGTTTTGTCTGATTAATCCCAGAAATGGAATATTTTCTGCAATGATATCTGGATTGTGGCACTTCTTTCCCAAAGAGCTACTTGAGACCCAATGCTAAAATATTCAGGTTGCTCTTCTAGAATTTTTCCTCTGAATCCAAAGAACTCTATTTTTCAAAAGTGCTTTATAAAATAAAAAAATGAAATTGGTATAGAAAGCAATTTCTGTATACTAATCGATAAACTGGATCAATGGGTTAACACAGTGAAGTTATGGGGGAATTACGTATAAGAAATACAATTTTTTATATTTAGTTATAATTTCTGCTGCTGTGAAATAATAGCAATAATAAAAACAGAAAATTAAAAAAGTCTTTAAAGAAACAAAGTGACGAGCATAAATCCAGACTAAGCTAGTCATACTTTGATCCTACTTATTTAGTTGATGGGTAACTTTTATTGATTCAGTTGACACTGATTTAAGTACACAACCCCCTCTACTGAGAAGTAAATTCCATTGAGTTCATTGGCAGCTAGTCCTGGCTAAATGGTTTAAAGATCTTACTCAAGTCTTCAAATTTCAAACCCTTATAATAAATTCATAATTTTTATAATGAGGAATTTATAATATAATTATTACAATATAAGGGGGGGAAACCCTAACTCAAAGAATATTGTAGAAAATATATACAAATACAAATATATATAAAAACAATGCCAACATACTACTGCTACAAAATGTTCCCATTTGTTTGTTTTTAATTGTTCTAGGCTCTCCTTTCTCTTTCCAGTTGTTGCTGGGGGTTTTTCTGGATTCTCTCTATACTTGTACATCTGATTCTCAACTATTCGATCCTTTTCTTAAACAGATCAAACGGGAGATGGGTGAGAACACACCACATCTTTCAGATGAGGAGCTTATGGGACTGTCAGTGCGGGAACTTAACCACCATCTGAGAGGCCTGTCCAAGGAAGAGGTAGCAAGATTGAAGCAACGTCGGCGCACTCTAAAGAATCGTGGCTATGCAGCCAGCTGCCGAGTGAAGCGGGTGTGTCAAAAGGAGGAGCTGCAGAAGCAAAAGACGGAATTAGAAAGGGAAGTTGATAAGCTAGCGCGGGAGAACGCTGCCATGCGCCTTGAGCTGGACGCCCTGCGTGGCAAGTATGAAGCGCTGCAGGGCTTTGCCCGCACAGTCACTGCTCATGGCACTGCTGCAAAGGTGGCAACTGCCAGCGTTATCACAATTGTCAAATCTGGTTCCAACCAGGCCACCTACTCCTAGTGCTTACAAGCCAAGCCATGAACTAAGTCCTATTGCCATGCCTCTGCACAGCTCTTACCTAAAGCGGCTGTAGCTGCACTGGCTCTTTCCTTCTCCCACTTTTGTTCTACCCACTGGAGGAGACACAGTTGACTTGAAGACCAAATGGCTAAATGTTGAACTTTGTCCTTAGTCCTTGCCTTCATTGGAAGATTGTGGGAAAGTGGTGTCCAACTTGTGTAATTTTAGCTGTCAGTTATTTGTGAATTGGATTACAATGGCCAGTTATTCCTATTTTCCTTTTCCATTTTATATTTGTTAGGTTTTCTTCTCTGCTGCTTCATACCTTATGACTGATTAAATGTAAAACAGATAGATTTGAAGATGAGATCTTTACCTTAGTTGAAAATGCTGCGTCGGAGAAATTTTGACAGCAATTATAGAGAAAGGCAGATAGTTTCTATCTGATTGGAAAAAAAGATGCCAAGACTGAAGTCTTCTTTTAAGGTCTAAAACCTAGTGATTATAATAATCCAGTTGTTATCAGAGGATATCAATTTCCCAGTTTCTTGGTGCACTGTTCAGACATAAGTCTAGGTATTCATGTATAACTCTGTCTGCTTTTTGTTGTAAACCATAGTTCCCAGTTACCTACTGTTTAATTCAGAGTCTCTTGATCGTTTCAGCATGAAATTGTTGTTTTACAAGAATCAGTCTGAGCCTCTGATGAGTAGACATTTAAAAATGATAAAAAAGTATTATTGCTTGGTGACTGCAACGGTGGTGGAAAAACAGATCACAAAAGGGACATGTCAAGAAAAGAATTAGTTGCTGCTAACCCACCCTAGGAAGAAATAATTATGCACATTGCAGTGACTGGAGAGACAATCTCTCTGCAACTGTCTGTGGATGCAATTGTGCTCCAAATACTCTTTTGATTGTGAAAGTGTTCTTCTGCTGAGGTTTTATGGACAAAATAGAAACAGCTTTCTAAAGAGGGAGAGAGGGAGAGAGAGAGAGAGAGAGAAGAAAATGGGAAAAGTAAAGAGGGAGTGTGTTAAATGAGGAAAGAGCAGCATGGATAAAGCAAGTGAGACTGATGGATAGTGAAGGGACAACAGAATTGCAAGTGAACTTCTAGAGAAGATAACTGAGTTCTAAAAGAATTAGTTTCATGAGGGGTACTAATAGCAACAAACAAAATGTAATGAAGAGAGCCTTTTGTATTTTCTTTCTGTTTTTGCATTGGCAAAAGACTAGAAATAGAAACTCAGGAAAGAAATATACCCAACTATTACAGAGATTAAGACATTTTATGTTCAAGGGAATCAAGCCAAGAAGCAGTACAGGCTATTTGCTTGGGGTGTGGGGTTCTGAGGTATTCAGAATCAATCCTAATCATAGAGATGGGGTATAACCCAGCACATCTCTTTCAGTTTCTTTTTTTCTCCCCAAAAGCAAGTTGAGAGAGGGCCAATCACTTACACAGAACAAGGAAAAGAGGCTTCAGTTGCAAACACCATTGGTGAGGAATATAGTTCCTCTGTGTTGTTTTGTGGCCTAATTTTTGCTCTATTTAGTTGTGTAAAATGCAAGATACATTTTTATTGAGGAAAGTGTAGTAGATGAAATTCAAAATGCTTCTTTATATCTACAGGATGCATTTTCACAAGAGCAGCAAAATAACTTGAACCATAGCCAAAAATAATTTTGTCATGAAAATAAAACCTAGTTTAATCTAAGCTAGCACAATGGCAAAGTCAAGTTCTTCTAGATGCCACTGTATTTGTCTCTTGTTCTTTTAAGATAATATTCTCATATGCACTTAGTAGGATTTACTGTAAAAACCACACTGTTTAATTTTTAAAAATGTTTACAATTACAATCTCGTCCCTTTCATTGTAGCAGCTTTTATACCATCCAGTGGTTCTCCAGATGCATTCTGCCATGTTGACTGCAAATGCTGTGAATTGCAGAGAGCACAAGTTAGAGAAAACTGATACCATTCAAAAGCCTAACTTAGTAAACACACAAACTTAAACAGTGTACTGTTTCCCTTTCCTTGCCATGCTTTCATGAATCCCATATGCCATTTAAACCAAGCTGCCTGCATGTACACACAGAATATTAGTAGCACTGGACTTGTAGAATCAACTATTGATATACTACCCATTTGTATGCCTTTCTGGCCAAGCAGTTTTAGCCCATTGCCTTCTCGTTTTAAAGGGGGTATGAAATCTTATGCCAAGCATGGACAATATGAGAATAGCACATCTGTACCAAGAGACACTGGCAGCTCCATTGCTTAAGAAACTGGGAAGTTTATACACCTGGGAGACATGGATACAGTAATTTTGTAGAAAGCATGGAGAAGGGTTAGATTAGAAGACTTAGGAAAGTACCTTCTTCCATTAAATATACGTTGCTAACATAAGAACCAGTGAGTATTTGTGGGTAATCATTTCCAGGCATGTGCCAGTGACTTGTTTATGTGGCAAGTATGATCCATTTTTTAAAAAAGACATATGGATGGGTTTACCCATCCTGCAGCTTGACGTGACTTCTACCCCTAACATGGAATCAGCTTCCAAACCAGTGTTGTCCATCCTTCCCCTCCAGCCTTTTGATCCTTAATGGGGATTCCCTCTTTAACGTTTCTACCCTTGACACCCTATTTTTCCTTGTTCCTACCCTGTGATTTATTTATTGCACGAATATAAGTTATTTTCACATTCTTTATGCCGTTCTGCCTTGTGGCCCGGCCGGGATGTTGGTACAGAGCTGTACTTTATATTTTATATATGCAAATCACATTTTATCTTCTATAGAGCAAGAAAAAAAGTACTTATTTATTTTCTGACTTACAGTAAGTGTCCTGCCAGACTCCTCTGTATTTTGTAGAATTTACAAATAAAGCCAGATTTTTTTTCCAAAATGGAGAAACTGAAAATAAGTGATATGTGCTCTTTTCTTGTGAAAATGAAAGAGATTGTGTTGAAGATCTAGGAATCAATTCTGGGAATTTCATTGAAAATGAATAATTATACAGCATTAATTTTATGTCTGCTGATCATTTGCAGACATAGGCAATCTGCTCTGCACTTTCAGCACTTGTCAATGCTGGTTGAAGTTGGGAGGACGGGAAGCCACTACTGCAGCTGTTCTCAACCTGTGGGTTGGGACCCCATTTGAATAGACTCTATTCAAGAGACTATTCTATTGGCTTTCGAAAGCCAATAGAATAGACTCTCTTGAATAGAGTCTAATTCTATTGGCTTTCAAAAACCAATAGGAATTGTCCAGGCTGTCTCTGCCCTGCTGAGACCGCCAAAAGCCCCACTCTGCAAACGGTGCTGCAAGGAAACCTTCCCTCCCTGCTCAGCAACTATTAAAAGTAAGTAAAAGAGGGCCAGGGGTGGGAGGTGGGAGGCTGGCGAGTGCAGAGAGGGTTGCTGGCGCGCGTGGGGCCCGGCGGGTGCCTTACCTGCCTGGGCTGGGCCAGCTGGTGGCCCAGCCAGTGGTTGCCCTGCGCCGTAGCTGCCCCTTGCCAGCTAGGCCTCGGCGGCGCAGGGGGCAGCACCATGCATGCATGGCGCTCCCGGGCAGGGAAAGTCCTCGACTTACAACCAGTTGGGTAGTCCTCAACTTACGACCGGTTGGGTAGTCCTCGACTTACGACCAGTTGGGGGTCACAGCATTAAAAAGGTTGAGAACCACTGCACTACTGGGAGTATTTTCCACCTTTTAAGGATAATGGGTATATATCTTATTTAAGTGCACCACAAAGTGCTATTGTGATTTGGCCAATCACAAAACACATTTTTGTGAGAAAGCCAATGAGATTACAATACTATACAAATCATTAGTCCAATTTTAATAAAAACATGAAACAGGTCTGAATTTAGGAATACATAATTGCTCATTTAAACTACATTTTTTGACTCCTACAAATACCTTCTGAGGCTAAAGAGAAATAATTTGCTTGCCATTATTTTGTGGCAGAGGTGAAATCTGAGATCCAAAATGCAAACCCAAAGTCTTGAATGTATTTTTCTAACCTTCATTCAGTATCCTTCTTTCACAGTTGCACAACCCAAATGCAGCACACAAGAACCCCTCATCCAAGTTACCCATTTCTCTTCCAGACTACCTTTAAGCCTGTATGGTTTCTCATGCATCTGGAACACGCTCAGCCCCATGACCCTCAGGCATACCTGGGTATAAATACAACATTTCAGTATATATGGACTGCAAATATTCAGGGAATGACTAGATGGCAACAGATATTCATGTTCTCATGATTACTCTGCTGAGTTATCAAGACTTCTCTCTTTCTGTACACTGAGAGCAAAGTCAGAGTCATTTACTCTTCTTTTTTCTTTTCTGATGGATGACAGAGTGCCAAAGTCCTGGGGAAAAATTGTGGCAGTGACCTGGTGACATTTTTTTGGATCACTTTCTAAATATAAATACGTAGAGCATTTTATCTGCAAAAGAGAAGAGGACTACAAATATGTTTCTTACCCTAGCACAGGTAATTTCATGGTGGATGGACCACTTTGCTCACTGTACTAATAAAAGAGAATATTTGTATCTCAGAGTTGACATGAGGAGGTCCTTGATTTCTTGATTGGGGTATTGTTTACTTGATTGTTGGTCTGATATTAACCTTGGAGTTAATCTTTGCTGATCTCGGTGCTGATTGCTGATGGAGAGATGCTTGGGTCTTTTTGTTCCTTTTTAGGATGGGTAATAGTCTCTTTTGCATGGTCTATATATGTTGTTAATGTCTATGTGTCTATTGATGGCTGATTTGTAAGAGTGCCAGTCTTCTAGAAATTCACTGGCGTTTTTGGACTTGGCTTGGTTTAGGGTGGTCAGACCAATATCCAAACAATACCCCAATCAAGAAACTGCTAAAGAAACCAACAGCAAACAGCCCAACCAAGGAATCCACCCCCACCAACACAGACAGGCAAGCCACTAGAATATAAATTGACAGCAAACTGCACTCCTTACTAGCACTGATGATTTTACCTAATTTGGGTAATGAAATGTCTGCAAGAAAGCAAGCAAGCTCAGAGAGCACCAAGGACCCCTTTTGCTCACTCTCTCAAAATGAAGCATTTGTAGCTTTGTTTTACCCTATTACAACAAACACCAATCCACTGTAAACACTGTAAAAGTTTTGAATCAAGCTAATACACAAGCTGTAAGGATTGAGAAGCAGCAGTTCCCAGGCTAGAGACCTTTGACTGTTAATATATTTCATGGCCTCCTAAGGGTATCAAGAAAGCAATCAAATATCTCCTAGCTTCAAAGGGCAGACAGAAAAAGTTAAGAGTTTAAACTCCGGAGCAATATATACAGTATTTATGAAGGCTCGACTTCTTGACTTTGTGGTGGGTAATCAACTATTGTGTTCAGACCTCCTCGTCTGCAATAATAATTATGTCTTAGCTGAGTCACATCTAAGCATCTTCTGCCAAGTTCTGAATAAGATATTAAAAGTTTGAAGAGCAGTGATTTACTGCTGAAGCATGGTGTGAAGTGTAAAGAAGTGAATTGGCCTTTCTTATAAACAAACAGGTAAATTCTTGCATACAGAACTCATTGTATGTTAAAACATACTAATAATAGAACCATATAAATAGCCTCATCCAGAGCATTTGTATTTTGAGATGCATTTCTTTTAGTTTAGCCCTTCACTGTTTTTGTAGCACTTTCAATAATGCAAGTGAGTCTGGGGGTTTTCAAGTAAATGGCATATGTCCTCAAAGAAAATGTCTGAATGAAATAGTTTTGAAAGGATAAATGAGATCTCACTGATACTGAAGAATGACCATGCATTAATAGATAGGTTCCTGACTAAAGGAAACCACAATAGTTGCAGCTGTGCACATCTAACCAAAAAAGCAGCAGCAGAGAAAAAATTACAACTGCCCTGTGCGCAAAAATATTAAGATAGTGACACGGGGACTCTTGTCATAGGCAGATCAATGAGCAATCTGTGCCAGATAAAAGCAGTTCTAAAATGAAATGAACATGGAGCAAGGCAGTTGAAAAGAAACACCTCCTGGAATGTGGCCTACAGGTCAGAATTTGGCAACTGGACTTGCCTATTCCACATTCCATAGACTTATCATCATTATAAAAAGGTTCCTATTTGCATACAGGGGAAAAGCATGCGCGCACGCGCGTGTGTACACACACACACACACACACACACACAGAGAGAGAGAGAGAGAGAGAGAGAGAGAGAGAGAGAGAGAGAAGTTACTTAAGGGACTGGTTCTACTAGCAGCTCAAAATCAATGGGTTTCTAAGTAAATTGCACTTGGCCTATTTAAATGAAACATGACTACAGTAGTCACAGTTTTGAAAAAAAACCTGTGGGGCAGAGTGGGAAGGTTTAACAAATTATTTTCTTGGCAAAAACCACGTTAAGTAGTATTTACATAAATACTGGAACAGTATTTCCTCTATCACCAGTCTGGTACCATATATTTTCTGCTTAGGAGTCAAAGACAACCTGCAATCTCCGTGTCCTGCAAAATAATGAATGCCAGGCTAAATATCAAAAGTTTACAATGAGCTGTAAATGAATCTGAATTGATGCATCGCTGTAGTGAAATACAATCCTAATAAGTGAATAGAAAGAGCTGCCAATTCTATTTATGGTTAGATCCCACAGATGAAGGAGACCATCTTCTTGAAAAAACAGATGAAGGATGACAAACAGTTTATACATTTAGTTATTGCAATTAACTTGCAATTAACTCTCAGGCCAGTTTGTAAAGAACAAAAATAGTGCCAACAGTGTAAACCACGTTGCAACTATAGAGATTCCTATGAAATGAAACTTAAAATCCTCTCACTTTTGAGACTTGGCCTCCTGGTATTTTTCCACCAGACTGATTTCAGTAGGTTACTAGATGGTATAACTGGAAGCAGTTGTTGAGTCCAACATTGCTAGCAAACTGATGGCAAATGGAGGAATCCAGATATGCATCCTCATTTCTATCATGGACCAAAAGGAGTAAACAGCAAATTTTTGCTGCTGCGGATAACAATGACTCTTTCTCATGAAAAAAAAAATCTTTTGTCTCCCCCAACCCCCCCCCATCCATACAAAAGCCCAAAACTATCTAAAAAGTGGGTGAAAACAGACAACTGAGTTGAGAGACAAGAGAAATGAAACTATTACAGATAGGCAGATCGTATTTTGCAGAAGGATTTATCCTAAAAGTTACGAATGAAAGCTGCTTTAGCTGTAGCAGGGCAGTGGACATAACAACAATCTTTGAACCATCAAGGACATTCAAAGAAAGCTATAGATAAATGGAAAAACCCCATCAGACTAACTTTGTGCCATGCTCAAGGGCATCTTTTAATATTGTGAACTTTTCAGAGTTACCCCGTGGTAAGAAGGGCAGTCAATAAATTTGATAAATAAAAAAAATCAGTAAATCTACACTAGTACTGAAGGAAGTACTAGAAATCTCATTTTGGGGAAGTCATGCACAGAAGCCAGAAACGTTCTTCTGAGAAAGAAGAACGTTCATAAACAGAATATTTTGCAGCTATCTATAGTGCCAAAGTGGTAGGAGAAATTAATTAAAATAAAAACAGTGATAACATAAAACACTTCATTTGAGGAGCAGTTGTATGCCCTTAATTTTTCTGCCAGACTATGGAAAGTATCTTTGCAAATCAGTGTATATGAAGTGTGTCTTAAAGTTGATACTTTTGTCACTGATTTAATAATAATAATAATAATAATAATAATAAGAAGAAGAAGAAGAAGAAGAAGAAGAAGAAGAAGAAGAAGAAGAGGAAGAGGAAGAGGAAGAGGAAGAGGAAGAAGAAGAAGAAGAAGAAGAAGAAGAAGAAGGAAGAAGAAGAAGAAGAAGAAGAAGAAGAAGAAGAAGAAGAAGAAGAAGAAGAAGAAGA